AATTGCAATCTCTGTACAATTTTACATGATTTGTAAGCCTGGAAAACCACTTGAAATGCTTTTGCACACAAGTATACCAAGTTTAGTATTTGCCATTGCCTATTAGTTAAAAACAGGTGGCTACGAGACTTACAAAGCCTTATTTTAAGGCAGCATCAGAACATAGGTTAGCACAAAAGATGGAAATCCTTTTTAAATTAACATATGTACAGGATTGGTTTAATGTAAATCTTATTGAAGAGCTTGAAACATTATGTATATACCTTTTTAATTATAAATATGCTTCTTGTTTACTAATGCAACAAAGTGATTGTGCTTTACTGTTCTAAATACAAGCCTAGGCACAAACCTCTGTCAACAGATTTCCTTTTGTTGGAGCATGTAAAAACCTTCCGTTTATACTTTTTAATAATTAATATGCTTTATGTGGACTTGTGCAACAAAGTAGTGGTTGTGCTTTACTGCTCTGTATACTTAGTCTAGGAACAAACCTATGTCAACAGATTTCTGTTCTAAACGATATGCACTATAAGTGGTTTATCCGGTGATTGTCAAGCTAATATGAATTTTGACTTCAATGTCTAACAAATGACCAACAGAGGAGGAACCTACAAAATAGGTGAAATATAGATTTTCAGGTAAGCTTTTATAATAATTCAGTAATCATTGTAGATAGATTGGACTTCCCTTCTGAATTTAACAGACATAAAATGCACACAATTTTTCTTCTGCCATTTTTCATGGGTTTTTTTTTTTTTACAGAACATGTGAGCCTTTACATGTTTCTGCAACCTGACTCATTCCTTCATTTCAGCTTAAAAGAAATTAACGCTTGCAGCAATGAAGAAATCATGTTCTGACAAGACCCTTGTCATCAATATACTAGCAGATAATTATATGCTTATATTCATTACATCAGCCAAATATTTGCCTTGTTTATGGCCAACAGGACTTTGTCAGGTCCAGGATTCCAATCTCACACATATATAATTGTATACAATAAATTCTATAATTTGCAGAGAAATACTGACCAAAGCATAACAAATACAGCAGTGTAGCATAAGCCAATAACTGAAACTACTGGTATTAATATGGCCTGGTATTCGCCAATAAATTCCATGCAACCATGGTGGTGTTTTAGTGCGGAGACAAGTAAGGCAGATGGTGAAATACTAAAAATAGATCAAGTTTCAGCCAGGTCTGCATTTTCGGTCTGCTCTTTTAATAAAAATGTATTCTGGTCTTCCTCTTGTTATACGTGTTTCTGTTAAGAGGATCAATTGTCAAAGCCAGTAAAACACCAGATCAGCCAAGAGTGAGGGCCATACTGGCAAAGACACTTGAATAAAAGCCTGGTCCTTACAGCAGTTGTAAACTCAAAGTTTGTCTTGAAAGTCAAAAACCAGTCAATTAATGACAGTAGTACATGTGACATTTTGTCAGCTCAAAAAGCTCAATCCCTTCTCTGTACGAGAAACTTCTCTGAGCACAGTGGTATGGAGCCAAAGTTTTTCACACATCACAGGAAAAAAGTCAGGAAATGCAGGAATACTTGAGATGAAGAGTTTCACTGAAATACACGAAAAGTAATCTTCACGTCACACTCTTCAGGGTTACCATTTGAGAACAGTCATGTCACAGACATTATCTTTGGTATTTGAGTAGCACAATGCGTGAAATACAGAACTAAAACATTGGGATAACAGCATCCATTTAAAAAGTGCACAGTGATAAGACCATCTGTGAACGAGGTATAACATTTGTTAAGTGGCATTTCCATGGTAACAGTTTGTGCAGGTGGGTTGTGTTTTGTTCTTCTGGTAGAAGATACTTTCAGTACTTTTCTCATCAATCTATAAATGAGACAAAAAGATCAGATCAGTAGAGTTTAGGCCATCACATCTGCCTGCATACCAAATGCATATCAAAATGGATTTACAAGAACTCTATATTTACAGTTCCAATGGAAAGTTTTAAAGTTAACATAAAAGTCTATTCCTGTTGATAAGTGCATGCTGATTTAAACGAAAGCTTCTAAAAAGGAAGAAGACTTTCTATATGAAATGTATGCGGATTGCTTTAAATTATCATACAAGCATAATAAGATTTTTGTACTTACCTTAAAATGTTTGTTAAAAAAAACTAAAAATAATAGCTTTAAAAGACAGAAAAACTGTAGGCCAGCCTCTGTACAATCCATCCGGTTATTCTCAGTTTTGTAAAGGAAAGAGGAAAAAAACAGAGGTGGGAACTGTGTCTCAATGTACGCCAAGAAAAATATTTTATGGTTAAGTACAACATACCTATTTTCTTTATTGTTCATTAAGAGACACAGGAATTCAAATAGTCAGGATGTCCAAAAGCAGTCCAACGAACTGGTGGTAACAACCACTGACAGGACCTTGGATTGGGACTGTAAACATTCTGCAAGTCACAACCACCTGCAGGACCAATGCACGAATCTGACCTAGATGAGGACAGGCTGCCTGCAAGAAAGGGAAGCAGCCAACAACCAAGGGGAGGCCACAGAGGATCAACCTAATGCTCAAGACCAGGGCAGAGGAGATCAGGTCAGAGGGGAATGACTCCACCCAAAGAAACAAAGGTTGTCCACAACGTGCCAATATAATTTTATATATTGATGACTCCACGAGATGACTTCGTTGGGCCGCCTCGTGACTCGACTAGACTCCACGAGATGTAGAAAGGTGATGCGAGGAATCTGACACTGCACTGTTGCCCTTCTGTTGTACCAGTCTTGCCACTCTCCGTTCTGCCCTAACATTGACTAGTCGCTGACGGCCACAATTCGCACGTTCAGACCCAAATTTGCGGCTGGCAGTCCAGGTCTTTAAACACTTTAACAATGGCTGCTCTTGAACATTAACGAATTCTGCTGTTTTGCTGATACTCGCTCCATGGCTCCGAGCGCCAACAATCATCCCACGTTCAAAGGCTGATAATCGCGTTGTTTGGGCAGGCAACTAATCTCACTAGAGGAGATAACCCAGAATGTGGACACCAGCACAGCACAATCATCCCTAAAGGGTTACAATGTAACTTCTGAAACTGGTAGACTAGAAAAAAGGTCACATCAAGTTTTCAATTCAACCACAAAAGGGGATTGGGTACACAGAGGGGACCCCCACACTAGCACAAGAGAACCCCCAGAAGCAGCAAAGATGACCATATAAACATCCACTTAAACACCCAAGGTTATCTCTGTGGCCTGACAGACTGCAGAACCTGCTAATCCTTGATACAGAACATGGTTCTAAATCTTTTGACCCACCCCAGTGAAGTATCCAAAGCCATGGAGTGAGAAGCTTAGCCTTACTGCTTAGAACATTTACCTGATTAGGAGTGAAACAACTGAAGGTATTTATGCAACCTTTCTATGTGGGCTGCGAACCAGCTACAGAAGGAGAACATAAGCAGTATGGTCCTCTATGCCTAACAGTTGGTATATGTAACAGGGACTCAGTGTGTTTCCCCTGCCGACAATCCTTTGAGGCAGTTTAGGAAAGCCAAAATGTAATGCAGTGTCCGCATTCGAGACCAGCCAAGAGTAGCACCCTAAGCATTGTCCAGCATAGGGACCAGGTTACCTGTTCTGTTGCAGTCTGTAGGGGAGCTCTCCCGCACTTTATCCTGAACGATACCCGTCAGGCTTTCCGGTACCCGTCTATCCTACACTAGCCGCTTGCCTAGGTCTCGCCATATTGTGACCGGGAGGTGTCCAAGGACGGTAAGGGCCTCCCTCCCGCGATCCAAGATGGCGGCGGCGGCACACAACACACGCTCCCCACCCCTAGTAAGCAGACAGGGGACAAAGGCAGGGATACAGCGGCGCGACTGGAGCGCTTCGCCCGCCATCCTGACACCCCTGCTAAGGGGCAGAGGCTCTGCTATTCTGCAGACCTGGACCCCCGCAGGGAGCTACTGCCGGATCGGCTGCAGTCCTCAGCCTCTGATTCAGATGGGCCGGACGCCATCTTGGCCACAGTGAGTACTGCTCATAAGACCAGTAAGGCCCCCCAAAACGTCCAAAATCAAAGCCAAGCCAGCTGAACCCACTATTGCTGACGTCCTATTGGCTGTACAGCTCTGTAACTCCGCATTGACCTCTGCATTGACCTCTCTAACAGGGGAGGTGCATGGGATGAGGGCTGATATCACTTTTATACGCCATGATTTACAAAAAGTGATGGAACGCACCTCTGCCCTGGAAAGCAGGGTTAGTGACCTGGAGGACTCTACCTCTCCCCTGATTGCTGATGTCAAAGCGGCACTGCATGACATATCTGCGAATACCTTGAAAAATTATGACATCGAAAACCGACTACGCCGCAATAATATCCGTGCTGTTGGCATACCAGAGCGAGCTGAAGGGGCCAATGCTACTGATTTTATTGAATCCTGGCTAAGCGAAGTCTTTGGGAAAGATTACCTGTCCCCGTTATTTGCTGTGGAAAGGGCCCACAGGGTTCCATCTCGACCGCTGCCACCTGGAAACCCTCCTAGACCCCTGCTGATCCGGCTGCTCAATTACTGTGATAAGGAGCGTATTCTGCGAAAGGCGCGTGATCTTGGAGAAATTACTCTGGCTGGCTCTAAGGTTATGCTGTTCCCAGATTTCTCCAAGGAGTTTCAACGGCGCAGAGCAAAATTCCATGAGGTTAAAAAACGTCTCCAGCAACTACACCTATCCTACTCCATGCTTTACCCAGCGAGGCTCCGAGTGGTCGCTAATGGAGAAACACAGTTTTTTGACATCCCTGCACAAGCATCGTCGTGGCTGGATAAGTTTGACTGCCGTCGGGCTTCCTCTAACACCTGACCGCTCAGCTTTGCCTCCTACTTGAGCCCATTGCTTTGATCCGTGGTACGGATGCCTGATTGTACCTACTGTCACGGGGCCTGGAACTCCCCGTCTCTCCACTGTTGGCGTTACCGCACTGGAAGGAGTCCCTATGGGTTTTTTTTTTGTTCTGGGATACCCCCAGTGGTACGGACTGTTGCCACCCTACCCCGAAGGCTTCCCTGCGTGGACGTTGTTTCTACAGTTTTTGGTTTACTGTTTCCATCTCATCTGATTTTTCCCCTTTTTTTTTTTCTGTTTTTGTTTTACACCCCACCCCTTCTCGACATGTTCCACTGTGTCCAGCCGCATCTTCTAGCTGTTTCCATGCCTGGTGTCTCTGCTGTGTATATTTACTACCGGATGCTCCTTATTGTCATGTGATGTATCTTGCCTATGTCTGAGCGTTTAATAACACTTGTCTCTTGGAATGTGAGAGGTTTGGGCGATGCTGCAAAGAGACGCTCTGTCTTGGACGGTGCCCTTCGCGCTAAGCCATCTATCATCTGTCTGCAGGAGACGCATTTAACTATGGACACCTCTGAGGCTATGAGCAGACGTTTCTGCCAGGCAACCTATCATTCCTGTTACTCCTCTTATTCTAGAGGGGTTTCCATTCTTGTCCATAGGAACTTGCCCTTCTCTTGTACGCAGATGAGGGTGGATAGAGCGGGACGGTATGTGTTCCTATATTGTACTATCCTAGAGCTAGCCTGTGTTATTGCATCTGTCTATATCCCGCCGCGATTCTCCAGTGCTGTGCTTAGAAGACTTAGCTCACTTCCTATCGGATAAGCTACCGATCCCTGTCCTAGTGGTAGGGGACTTTAATGGCGTTTTGGATTCTAGCCTCGACAGGTTTCCCTGCCGGTTGACAATGGATGCGCCACTCGCAACACCTCTCAGCAAGCTTTGTGTGGAGCTGTTGGGGTGGTTTGGGATACGCTGAAGGCCTACCTTAGGGGTACCTTCCTTAAGAATGTTAGTGCTGTTAAATCCAAGACTAGGCAGGACCTGATTCTGGCCCGCCAGCTGGTTGCTGACAGTGAAAGGGCCTATGTGGCCAAGCCTATGACAAGTACAGAGGCTGACTGGCTGACCACAGAAGGCTCTCTAAATACCCTGTTGAAGGAGCAGTCCCAGAATAAACTATTTTTTACCAAGTGGGTCTTCTGGGCGGAGGGGGACGCGACAGGTAAACTCCTGGCTCAGGTAGCTAGAGCCCAACAACCCTCTAGCCATATGGCGCTATCTCCGACTCTCTGGGGGTTACCCATTCGAGCCAGGGAATGGTGTCCGAGATTTTCCGATCATTTTGCGCATCCCTGTATCAAACTAAGGCTAGTTATTCTGACCCGAGCTTTCGTCCTACCTGCAAAACGTTCCCCTTCCATCCTTGTCACCGGATGACAGCATGGATCTGGAGGCCCCCATTACTCTGGAGGAGCTGGAGGTAGCGCTGGCTAGCTTCCCCAGTGGTAAGGCGCCTGGTCCGGACGGGCTCCCTATTGAGGTATATAAAACTTACCCTACTACTCTCCTACCTGCACTTCTGGAGACGTATAATGATGCATTTTCCACTGGCGCACTACCAAACACGATGTATGAGGCCACTATAGTGGTGATCCCCAAAAAGAATAAAAACCCGCTGCTGCCGGAATCATATCGACCTATTTCCCTACTGAACGTCGATATTAAGATCTTGGCCAAAGTGCTTGCAATCAGGCTGTCCCAAAAAATTTCATCAGTGATACATCCGGACCAATCCAGCTTTATGCCCAACAAGTCCACCGCCATTAATATCCATAGAGTGTTCCTGAACCTGCAAGTTCCAGCCGACAATACAGGCAACAGGGCGCTACTTGCCCTGGACATAGCGTTCGACAGTGTGGAGTGGCGCTATCTGTGGGCAGGGATGGGAGCCTTCGGCTTTGGCCCCAATTATTGCAGATGGGTGAGCCTGCTGTATCATCACCCATCTGGAAGGATCAA